GGCTGGATTTTCCATACCAATGGCCTTAACATATTTCAGGAACCTTTATATTTTACCTGTAGTATTACCCTATGATATAAAAATCAAAGCTTACAATAACCAGCAACAGAAGGATAAACTCATTTAAAGAGTCGTGATGCCGAGGCAATGCAGTTTTCCGTCTGTCTGCTCTACTGAACTGCTGCACAGTCACTGGGGCAGACAAAGTTCAGAGGCCAAGGGTCAGGCCTTGGGGAGAAAACACGCGGAAACGGGGAGCAGGCAAAGGGGAGCGGCTGTTGTTCCATCCCATTAATGCAGCTCTGAAAACCCACCCAGTCTGTTTCTCTTCACTTTAACCCCTATTAATAACATAAATAATTAAATACACTGATTGATTAATTAACGTATGGGTGCTTAATTTTAAAAAAACAAGTCAGAGAGACAGAAAATCTACTGGGCAGTTAAATCAATGGCTGAATAAATAGCAATACTCGTACATTAAAAAAAGAAAAGAGAAGAAAAGAAAAGAGAAGAGAAGAAAAGAAAAGAAAAGAAAGTCTATTGGGTTACTCTTGGCTGCCTCACCATGGAGCAGGCAGAGCGCAACTCGTGCTGTGCTGAGTCCAACAGCAAACCTCCTGCCCACACCTGAGGTCATCCAGCCACCGGAAGGCCATCGGAAGGAGTGGTATTCCGTCCCGACAGCCACAAACCGGAGACAATCTGGTAATCAAGATCTAAGACTCATAGTGATTTAGCCCCAACATCTAACTTTTAATTGGCAAAACCAAGTTAATTTTCTGTAGCAGATATTAGAATTATGTAATTATTTTAGTTTACATTTTGGTAAGTGACTTTATTAAGGTTTTATAAACTGTATTTTGTTAAAGTTTGTGAAAGGTTGCTATGAAACACAGTAATTTGGAAAAAAATAGAGAACTGTGGCCATGGATGGATGACTGACAATGGATGAGGTCACTAATAGGCAATTAGAGCATCGAGCATTCCAATACAATTTAATAATTTGTTTTGAAGAAACATAGCTTCCAAAAGAACAAAAGGCAAACTAAATATTTATTTGGCTAGCTGCGTGCATAAATAAGCTATAGAAGATAAAGAAATTCATTTCCCCTAGAGCCCAACCTGGAAGACAGCTCAAAGAGCACGAATACATGTCTGGCACACACAGCGTCCTGAGATCCCCCGCCACGCATGCAGCCTGGTGATCCCCAGCACCGCTGAACCAACACTGGGCTGAGTACTGGACTGACTGGCCCAAACAAAGTAGAGCCAGAAGTGTCCTCTCCCACCTCTTGAGCACTGCCTGGGGGCCCTACCGCCCAAAAGGAGAAAACAAAAAAAGTAGCTTCAACCGACAAAAGAATCCAATATGTAGTCACCAGTTTAGCTCCAGCTCAACAGTGGATGAGCTCCAAGAGTCTGGCCAAGAAAGGATGCGCGGCCATGGAAAGAGAGCTTGCTACGGTGCCGTAACAGACAGCAGTCTGGCTTCGGGTTCAGTCAACTTAAGCTGGGCTCCTGCTACATACACACGAATGTCCTGGACTCCAGGCCTGGCCCTCTCCTCACAGGCAGACAGATGTTCCAGGGCTGGGAGACAGCTCGAGGGCTTCCCCTGCACACAGCGGACCAGGAGCCCTGCTGGCTGGAGCAGCACCGCTGCCCACGTGGGGGGCCTGCCCGGCTCCCCGTCTGACGTGACTGGTGGGGAAAACACTTGGGAGCAGCAGCACTGACTAGTGCTTGTGGTTCCAAACTTGGGCAGGAAAAGGTGGTTGGTATCTGGTACAAGAGGGCATGTGGGACCTGGCTAAGCGGCACCTGCCTGGGCCAGGGTGGTGGTACAACGGAAAGGCACCTGCCCTGCACCTGCCCTGATCTGGCTCCATCCCTGACACCCCAAGAGGCCCACTGAGCCCGCCAGGAATGACCCTGAGAACAGAGCCAGGAGCAAGCCCTGAGCACTGCCAGCTGTGGCCCCAAACTAAGACACAGAACCAAAAGCATTGAGCATGCCTGGATATGTTTTACAAATATATGGATACCCCCTCCCCCCAAAATTGATTAGGATAATTAGATTTATAACACACCCATCCTTTTAGCCACAACGCAAAACATCTCTAAAGCTCTGGGAAGATGCAACCGTGAAATCGACATCTCCCGGGAAAAGCTGCAGGCAGAGAGGACACTCACTGGCAGGAGCGCAGAGGAGGGGGCAGGAGAGGTGCCTCCCAATGGCAATAGGCTCGTGATGCGCAGGTTTAGAGCCATCACAGCTAGAACCGAGCAGCATGAAACCCACTGGGTGACGCTCCAGTACCTGCTTCAAGGACCTGCGATGTGGTTCAGTTATTTGCATGAGTGAGCATTATTAGAGTCAAACCCCTACTACTGCAAAACAAGCAAACAAAAACAGCACACCTCACTCAGAACAACAAGAGACTAAACTGCTACAAGGAGCGCAGCGTCCAGCGGCCTGGCAACAGTGCCGGCTCCAGGCCTCCCTCGAGTCTCGGGAGAGACGCACGCCATGCCACGGCCCCCAAACTCACACATCTTCTGGCTGACAACTCCGCCGGTGAGGGCAAGGGTGTTGGAACACCGTATGACTGAAGCCCCGTCATGAACAAGTTTATGTACTTCACAGTGATTCCATCTGAAACAGTCACACTGCGCTGCTGAGAGGGCAGCCTGGGGGTGGGTGAGAGTTACTGGGCCAGGGTGCAGGGGTCACACGAGGGCTGCGGTCAAAGCTGAACACTGAGCGCCCAAAGCAACTCTACTATGAACAATGTTTAAATAAGGAAAAGGAAAATAGGAGAGCACATTTGTGACATGTATCTCCCTCAGATACTGTTATAAACTCAAATTTTACTATAGAGAAAGCATCAACGTGAGGAAAGCTGGAAGAGCACACTCTCTACACTCTCTGAGAGGTTCTGGTAGGCCGAGATCCCCAATTAAGTCCATGCCAATCATCTGGACAGTGAGACAGTGAAAGTGTCTCCTCTTGCCACTAATTCTGAGATTAAGATGATGATTGGGGATTGAACAGATATACTATATGTCAGATCTAGATACCATTCTATGTTGATATAAACAATATTTAAAATGAGGTGCCATGAAATGTGACAGATAACATTTCATTAACAATATGCTCATGAAACCTTCATTAACACATCAAAGCTTTTTTACTAAGAAAGCCGGTTTTAGAATTTTGTTTAAATCGTAGAAAATGCCTTTTCACTAAATCATATTTTAATTTATATAAAATGATTTTATTTATATAAAATGATTCAAGGGAAGTTGCCTATTCTTAGGGCTAGGAAAACCAATGGAAAACCAGCAGGACCGTACTACTGTTCAAGAAGTGAGACATCCATGACATTGGCAACTATCGCCCGATCTGCCTATTGTCTGTCATCTACAAGTTATTCACTCGAGTCATCCTAAATAGGATTGGCAGAACACTAGATGAAGGACAACCATGTGAGCAAGCCGGGTTCCGCAAAGGATTCAGCACCATCGACCATATCCACACGATAACCAAGTTCATTGAGGTTTCTCGGGAGTTCAAGATGCCGCTCTGTTTAACGTTCAATGATTTAAAGAAGGTCTTTGATTCTGTTGAAACAGAAGCGGTCATTGAAGCCCTAGCCAATCAGGGCACTCAAGCCCAATACATCAGGATCCTCCGTGAGCTGTATTGCGGATTCACTACCAGGATCTCACCATTCTACAAAGAAGTGATCGTTGATGTCAAGAGAGGGGTGCGGCAGGGTGATACCATTTCACCGAAACTCTTCAGTGCCACCCTCGAGAACATCATGCGACAACTGGAATGGGAAGGAATGGGAGTGAAGATAGATGGTCGGCAACTACACCACCTCCGCTTTGCTGATGACATTGTTTTAATAACACCAAACATCAGCCAAGCGGCACAAATGCTGGCCGACTTTGACCTTGAGTGTGGAAAGGTAGGACTACAGCTGAATCTTACGAAGACAATGTTTAGGAGAAACAGCCTTGTTCCTGACGCCCCATTCGCTCTCAATGGAATGACCATCTCCGAATGCAACAGCTATGTGTACCTAGGTCGAGAGATCAACATGACAAATGACCTGGCACCCGAGCTGCGCAGGAGGAAGAGAGCGGCTTGGAACGCCTTCAAGAACATCGAAGAAATAGCTAAGAGGACAAAGAACCTCCGGCTCCGGGCACATCTCTTTGATTCCACTGTTCTTCCTGCATTAACATATGCCTCAGAGACCTGGGCCCTACGCAAACAAGATGAGAATGCTATTCAGGTCTCCCAAAGAAGAATAGAAAGAGCTATGCTTGGAATATCACGTTTCACTCAAATGAGAGAAAGAATCCGGAGTTCTGACATCTGTCGACGACCAAGAATCAGGGACGCTGTCTCATTTGCCAAGGTGTCGAAAATCAGATGGGCTGGTCACGTAATGAGATTTAAAGACGACCGCTGGACTAGAGCTGTTACCGACTGGATTCCACAGGATGCCAAAAGACCGTGTGGCCGCCCACCTTCCAGATGGTCAGACTTCTTCATGAAGATCATGAACGATCGGTTTGAGGCCCTTCATGTTCCCGGAGCGAACAGATGCCATTGGGCTACACTAGCACGCGACAGGGACAAATGGAGATGTTACTGGCGCCCGCTCGAGCAAATCGACGACTAACGGGAAGTTAAGTGATTAAGTGATTAAGTGAAGGAAAACATACAGAAATTAAATCTTTAGAATTAAAACATGCACATGATATTTGTATATTTAAAAATTATGAGACACCAAGCCCGTATAATTGTTTTGCTGTCAATTACATTTTCTCCTTGAGGTACTCAATCTGACCTTTTTTTACAGACAAACTCTAGGGTCCTAGCATGTATTCTGAAAACAAACTTGGAGATAAGAGACTAATAAAAGAACCAGCCATCATTTTTGTTAGGTAACAACGATGCTGCCACAATGTGCCCTTACCTTTCTCTGGTGGCCTTCTGTAGGACCCTCATTCCTGTCAGCTTACAGCACTTCCCTTCCAACTGTCGGTCATTCAAATGGGAACCTTCTGCGTACACTTCACTGAACATTCCGCATGCATCTTGTACAAGAAGGCAAACTCTACAAAAAAGCAGTCAGGTTTATTCCTTTATAAGATAGTTTTCAACTAAACAATTAAATGATAAAAAAAAATCAAAGAACAGAATCCCGTTTCGTTCGCTAGAGATCCACTGTAGTCATCTTCCTAAATGGATGACCTGGGGCATCCAGACTGTACTTTCAAGCTGTGTCCCTGTGTATGCCAGGGTCACTATTCAAAGCGCAGGAGAAAACAAGAGTTCTTCTTGGGCAGCTCTAAGCCAAACGTGGTGTGTCTCTTATTCTTCCCTCCCCCTCAGTCCGCTGTTGGCTCGGCTGCTGTGGGGCCAGAGACCCCCCGAGGTGGGTGCAGCCACGGGGGCACGGGCAGCAGAGCCCAGAGCTCCCCCTGGGAGCAAGCCAGTGCCCGGGACAGGGGCGGGGCGGCACGCCTGCAGGCAGGCTCTGCACCAAGCCCTGCTGTGCTGGCCCCACCACGGGGGCTAAGAGAAGACAGGCAACTCTTCGAGCACAAGAGCTGTACTCACTGCCTCCGTCTCCCTCCATTTTTATCCTAACCCCCGTCATGAAAAACTTGTAGTTAAGGAGTAGTTTTAGTGATAAGAACAATAATAAGGCTTTTCGGAGAAGGTACATATCTAAAAACCTGTATTTCACGGTGGACTAAAGTAAGATCTCTGTAGAGCCGGTGACATGAGGGTATTACTTTCATTTTTTAAGTTCAAAAGATAATAATCTATACTTATTGCTCAATAATTCAAATAGTCTTATTTATCATGAAAATGCATTCCCTAAAACATTTTTCTGGGTCCCGAAAGAATTAAGTCAGTAAGCCCCCAAATAAATAGTGAGAAGCAAAATGATTTTAAAGATGAGACTATAAAGGGAAGTGTAGCTTGGAAAGGAACAGGCGATAAAAACACAGAAAGAAAAGCTCAACATGAAATATTAACCTGAAACAGTAAGTTTGCTAGAACTCAATAAAAGTCTAGACTCTGTTCAAGTCTCCCTCCCTGGTATACAGATTTTCCTTGGTTTGCAAGAGAAATCAAGTTCTCTTTCAAAGAAAATACCATTAATTAGTCTTGTCATGGGGTAAACTCAATCGAAGATATGCTGAAATAAAAATTCCCAAATACAGGGGCTGAAGAGACAGCACAGCAGGTAGTGTGCTTGCCTTGTATCTGGCCAATCCAGGTTCAACCCCTGAGCAGAGAGCCACGAGTAAGTCTTGAGCCCTGCTGGGTGTGTCCTCTCCAAAAGAAAAAGGAAAAAACAACCAAAAAAATTCCACCCCACTAATAGAACTGATCTGTGATACTATAATTAAAAGGAATAAAGTGTAACGACTAATTATAAAAGAACAAACAACCCAAAAATGAGATAAGCGATACAGAAAAGCCTGGCAGATTTGAAGAATGAATCTTTGGAGGGCGGGGGGCTCCCAAGAGGTGCTCGGGAGCTCTGGGGTCCCTCCCAGCAGCTCTGGGCTGACTGGTCAGTAGGGCAGTATGGCCCTAGAACACTGTGCTGCTCAGCTCTGTGCTGATGCCACGGGGACTACATGGGACGGGATCAGTGTTGACCCCGGAGCCCCCAGATTTGAAGAATGAAATGGAGCATTCAGAAGGGAAAGTCACACACATTACACTAAAAGATTTAGGTGCTAGAGAGTGCAGTGGGTAGGGGTTTGCCTTGCACACACCCCACACAAGCGTGATTGCCTCGCCCCTGAGCGCCGCCGGGAGTGATCCCTGAGCGCAGCGCCAGGTGTAACCCTGAGCTTCATTCACTAGGTGTGGCCTGCCCTGCCTCAAAATGAATAAACCAACCTTACAGGACATCTAACATATAGAACCTCTTTCCAGATGCTCATTAGGGGGAAGTTCTTTTTAAAAGTCTAATCTTGAAAATGAAATTGCCTCTGGGAACTGGGGGTCTATTTTAGATCCCACAACACTGCTAACACATTTGGAGAAACTTCGTTTTTTTGCTTGCTCAGGGGCAATGCTCAGGGGTTACACCTGGCTCTGCATTCAGGAATGACTCCTGGCTGTGCTCAGAGAACCACATGGGAAGCCCAGGAAGGGACCTAATTGGCCACATGCCAGGCCAGCGCCCTCCTGGCTGCACCATCACTTGGGCCCTGTCTTGTGCCTTGGAGATCTGTCACTATGCACAACGTGAGTGGTACCCTTGGCTGATGCTTTCACAGGATGAAATCCTTTTTACCCCTGAATCATTTCATCATTATTTTCTCCCCTTCATTTTTCTTCTTTGTTCATTCTGGTCACTGAACATCCTAGATCATGTCTTTCATTTCTTTGATTCTCCCCCCTGCTCCCCAAGTATGGAATGTTTCATGAATTTGCATGTTGAATTTTCACTCAGGGACCATCCACATCTCTGTATTATTCCAATTTTAGTATCTGTGCTTCTAAGGGAAGCATGCCTTTGATTTCCTTTTCTTTCATATTTTCCTTCTCCTTGTGTAAGTTTAATCAACTTTGTCTTCCAATACTCAAAATAGATGTGCTATAATTCCAAGTCTTCATATACTTAACTTCCAAGAGTTTTCCTTTCAACTCTCTTCCAGGTACTATGCAGCTGCAAGGAATGATAAAATCATGCGACTTGCTGCAACCTGACTGGAATTGAAAGGTATCATGTTGAGCAAAGTAAGTTAGAAAAAGAAAGAAAAACAAAGGATGATCTGACTTATCTGTGGTATCCAGAGTAACTGGACAAGGAAATGTACTACAGCAAAGGGGGACTGCCTCGATAGACCCTGACCCCGGAGAACAGGAAGGAGAAGGGCATCGAAGGGAATAAACTGAGGGGGAAGTAAGAAGAGGAGGAAGGGAAGTAATGGCGGCTCAGGGTCAGGGGCCGTGGGTAGACCAGTGATGTGGGACCGTGGTGCAGCTGTACAGCCGAAGCACAGGCTAACAGCACTATAATCCTGAGACCGAAACTACAATCACCGAACTCTGAACCGCGCCTGTCAGGGTGGCAGGAGGGGGGATGGAAGGAGATGGGAGGGGGTGGGCAGGCCGGGAGGGAGCACAGAAACTCTGGAGGAGGGACTGGTGTTGGAGTACTGTGTGCCTATATCAGTAACTTTGTAAATCATGGTTCTTTAATTAATTTTTAAAAATTTAATAAAAAGGAGGGGGGAAATCTCTCTTTCAAGAACAGAGAGATAATGCAGAGAGCACAATGCTTGCCTCGAATACGGGACTTGATGGTTGCACTGCATATGCACGAACCCTAACTCTAAGCCCCTCCCCAAGTGATCCAAAGACAGGCAGCAGTGAGTCGTAAGCACAGCTGATGGAGACTCCACATTAAAACAAAATCTCTTAAAAAGCTAAAAAGAGGGAAAAAATCTTATAAAAATTATAGAGGGAAAAGAGGGGGAAATATTAGTAAGTTTGAGGTAAGTATTTCTCAGTTCTGACACAAAAGCACACACGCCCAAAGGACTAAGACATATTAAAATTTAAACTTCTGGAAAGGGATAGACACAGAATGATCTCTCTCATTACACAGCAAGACAGCAAGAAAGGTCCAAAGGCACAACAACGGGAGAACTGATTCACACAATTGAATTGGGGAAGAGGGAGGGGGGATACTGGTGATGGGTGTGATGTTGGAATATGTGCACGAGACACCGTGACCATAGCTTTGTAAACCATAGAATTTCAATTTAAAAAATTTAAACTTCTGATCTTTGAAAGATACCATTAAAAAAAGTAGGAAAACCATAACATGAGACTATTTTTCTATGTCATACATATAATTAATATATATATTATATATATATATATCTATGAATGACTAGGGCTTCACAGGCACCTCACATCTACAGCACATAAACAACTCTTGGAATAAAAATGACAATTCAATATAATGTATCACTAATTACATCATTTCATTTTTATGAAAAAGTTAAATCCATAGAGACAGAACACAGAATTATGGTCGCCATGGAGCAGGGAAAGAATAAAATAGGGATGCTTCCTCTTTAATGTGCAATGAGTGTATTTTGGAACTAGATGAAGGGGGTGCACGACCCCCACAGAACACGGACGGGCAGCAGCACTGCCGGGCCAATCCTGAAGAATGGAGCAGAACACTAGAATGAGGTGATGTTGGCACTGCTCTGAATGGACACTACACCATTTTTGTTCACACTGAAAAGGGTTCATTTTTTAAAAAATTTTTATTAGTGAGACACCATGAGGTACAGTTGTAGACTTACAAATTTTTGTGCTTGGGTTTCAATTATACAATGATCAAATACCCATCCTTCCACCAGTGTCCATTTCCCACCACCGCAGATCCCAATATCCCTCCCACCCCCAGCCACACATGCTAGGGGAAAAGGGAGCTCAGATAGAGAAGGGAGCACCAAATAAAAGGTGTTGGGAGGATCCTCCCAGGATGGGAAAAGCATGCTGAAAGGGTTCATTTTTTAAATGTGAATTTCAGTTCATATCAAAAATAGATAAATAAATAAAAGGAAAATTAAGACCTGGAAAAAACACTTCACACTTCATCAAAGAAGATACACATGCCACATCATAATAGGGCATCAGCCACTTGGAAAACCAAGTTAACACTGTTCCGAGGTACCACTTTAGCTTTTCACCAGAAAGCCAAAATACAAAGGAAAGGTAATATCAAGCTCTGTTAAGAATATGGAAAAACTGGGAATCCCGTGCATCTTAGGAATGGATGTTATAGTCATGGCATAATGCATTTTGGTATCTCACAAAATTAAACATACATTTATTACATATCTTGTCATTCAAACTAGGCTTTTTCCTAAATAAATAAAATCATATGTCCACACAAAGGCTTATAAACATTCATAATGGCTTTGCTAAATAATAGCACCAAATTGAAAGCAAATGTTCAAAAACAGTTCAATGATTAAACTGTGGTATATTCCTACAAGAGACTACTACTTCACAACAATAAAAAATGAATCTACAAAAAAAAACTCATTCATTGTT